GTATTCCATTGCAGCTTTGATTCCTGTTTCTCTGATGACTAAGACGTACTTTCTTTTCATGTATAGCACTGAGGACGTGCCTGTTCAAGTTCTTTGCCCATTTTTTAATTGTCTGAGTCTTAGAACGTTTTCAAGATTTCTTTGGCTAGTTGAGACTTTCCATAATTTGTATGTTTGAATTTGAGGGTTACCATTTCCATTTTTGTGAAGCATTGAAGTAGTGTTAAAATTGTCATTGTTTTGGGTAGTAATGTTGTATTTTAGTGTCATTTTTTTTTTGTGTGTGTGAATATGGGATGACTTTCCACATCGGTTGCTTAAATTCAATTCAGCAGTGTTTTGTAGTATTCAGCCTACAGGGCTTTACATCCTGTGTTAAATTAATTCTTAAGTATTTATTCCTGAGTTTTTGATTGTAAATAGAGTTGTTTCCTTAATCTCCTTGTAAGGTTGTTTGTTACTAATTTATAGCAATACAACTTTTTTTGTAATGTCTTAATCTTGGACTCTGCAACTTTGTTGAACTCATAAGTTCTAGTACTTGCATATTCTTTGGGGTTTTCTGTATGTAAAATCATAAACTACAAGATCCTAATGCTGGTACCTCTCCTTTTCCATCTCAATGCATTTGATTTCTTTTTGTTTAATAACTTTAACAAAACTTGCAACATCATCATGATGGACATTCTTGACTGTCAACTTGACTACATTTGGATTAACCAAGGGCTGGGCACACCTCTGAGGGATTTTTCTTGACTGCGTCATTTGATGGGAAGACCCAGAGCTTTTGAAATGGGGAGAACCACCTTAAACCTGGGACACGCCTTTTGGTGGCAGCCAGGCTGTGAATGACATGGAAGAAGGAAGCGGTTGCTCTTTGCCTGCTTTTCTTCAGGAGACAGCCACTATTGGACCCTAACCTGCAAGCCACTCTCATAAATCCCTTGTGCGTGTGCGCGCATGTGTGTATTCATTCTATCAGTGCTGTTTCTCTAGGGAACCCAACTAATACAGACTTTCATAACAGCAGTGGTTCTAGGGCAAGAAAAGTATACGGATGACTGTTTTAAGTAACTGTAATAGACTTTCTAATTTGCTAACACCTTACAGCTACTGAAGCTTCTCCTAGAAGCCTGGAGAGCCCTATAGACCCGTGGTGTGAACTATTTCACAAACTTTTCAAGGCACGTGCATTTGATTACCCTGATTCACTTACTTCGAGGAGAAGGAATTTAGTGACTGTCTACATAAAACTTTTGAGAATGCGCAATTCTCAAATAAGGCTGGTTGGCTGCTCCTAGCATCTCTGGATAAATTGACAAAGGAAAAGAATCAGCTCCGTGATAAAATTAACCAACCTCCGTTATCTCAAGATACAGTGATGAAGGACAACAATGCACTCTTTAGGAAGGTAGTGCCTACTTGGAGGAACTGAGACATGCCCTGACAAGACAGGTGTGTGCTCCTGCTCTCTTCTTTTCAGTGGCCAGGTGAGGAGTGTCGCTCCTCAACCTGTTCTCTGTCTGCCATGAGACTCGGCCTCACCTCAGACCCAAAGTGATGTGTGCAAGCAAACACACACTGACGCCTCTGAACTGAGACCAAACAAACCTTTCATGCTTTTCATTGATTTTATCAGCATCTATAACCGTGATGAAAATCTGAGTAACTGGTGTGTTTTGATGAAAATCAAAACTGGTGTGTTTTTGTAAAGCTACTGTTGCTCAGATATTATGTCTGCCCCTCCTTCTCCTTTCATTTGGTGATACTAGAATTCTTACGTTGGTTTACTTGATGTTCTTCAGGCTCTTTAAATTCTATCAAATCTTCATTTCCTTCATTCCTTATATTAAATCAATGCAGTCAATCCTAGCTTCTGCTAGTTTGTGCTCGCTGATCTGTCTGTCTGCTCAACTCCACTCTGGAATTCTTGCAGTGATGTTTTCATTTATTGTATATACTTTTTTTTTCTGCTCCAGAATTTTCTTTGACTTCTTAAAACTTTCAGCTCTCTGTGTGCATCAGTGCCACGCTAACCCATTGCACCATGGGAGCTACTCATGCTCTATTCCCCTCACTCTATTCAGGTGTCAACCTGTCTGCATGCCGCTAGTTCTCTAAACTTAAGGCCAACAGTTTAAAGTCTAACATTAAGACTTCTTTAGGGATTGTTACTATTGATATTTTGTCCCCTGTAGTGTGTGTGTGTGTGTGTGTGTGTGTGTGTGTGTGTGTGTACATACGTGTGCATGGGTGCATGCGTGGAACACAAGCAGAGTACACTCTCAGGCCACTTTGACTTTTTTTTTTATTTTTTAAACCAGGGTCTCTTATTTTCTAGGAACTTGCCACATAGGCTAAGTCCAGGAGTCTCAGGCAGTCGCCTGTCTTTGTCCCTCCAAGTACTGGGTTCCAATACACACTACTGCACTTGTCTTTTTTTTTTTTTTAAGCCTGGGTTCTGAGGATCAAGCTCCAGTCTTGATCGCTGGGTGAGCCACATGCTCAGCCAGACTTGCTTCTTTCAATAGTTCATACCTTCCTGTTTCTCTGTATGCTTCTGAGTCTTAGTTTTGGTTGAAAACTGGACATTTGAATCTTACAATATGTCAACTTGTTTTGCGATTACTGCTGAAGTTTGTCATTATTTCAGGGAAGAAGTCTAAGGCTTTCTTGGGTCTTTTCTGAATCTGTGCTTTCCTTGGGTATAGATGGTGAATTTTTTTTTTTCTAAACTCCCTCTTATACACAGTCACCTTGACGTGTCCCAATCCCTAAATATCGACCTCTTAAATGGAAAAAGATGCTGCTGTTTCTCCAGCTGCTGCGGATTGAAACAACAGTGGCTGGCCTCTGCAATAGCCATCTTTGTCCTGGAAGACGAAAGCTTTTAAACAGATTCTAGAATTCCTAACAGTGTCGCCTGACTGTCCCTGCTGTCATAATAGTTCCCTAGGTAGAGGGTTGACTCCTGGTGAGTCCTGCTCCTCTAGCTTCCCAGACACCACGTTAGCACATTATTTACGGTTTTACCTAGCAAGGACATGTTCACCCTTCAATGCTCTCAACTGCAGGCAGAAGAGCCCTAGATTTGGCTAATGTGAACATGGACAAGCTCTGGAAGAAAGCGGAACATCGGGATACATTTTCAGCTGTCTGGACAACCATACTGCCTTGTTTGAAGGTACCCTTCTAGAACTAAAATTCTGCTGCTTTTGGGCTTCCTTTCTCAGGAGCGAGACCCCCTTCCATATGTCTTTTTCTCTGCAATGGGGTATTTAGATAACAGAGTACAGCCTTCACCTGGTGTTTCTGTGGTTGTTAATTGTCATTGTGACTGGATTTAAAATGACATAAGAGAGAGCTACACTTCTAGGCACAGCTTTGAAAAATTATTTATTCATTTTACATCCTACATCAGTGAGAATGTTTCTAGGGAGAATTAGCTATGGAAAAAAATCTGCCTTCAGTCTGGGTGTTGTCAGTGTGTGATCTGGGGAACTGCGTTGTGGATAGGCCAGGGATGGGGATTGGGGAAGAGGCAGCTGAATGCGGCTTCCTGGCCTGCCCTGGTGTGACTGCCATGGTCTGCTCTGCCCTCCCTCGTCATGGACAGCATTTAAACTGTGAACTAAACAGCTTCCCCCTCCCCTTAAGTTGTCATTTTTGGTCACAGTGATGTGAAAAGCAACGGTTTGGGAGTGTTCTCTTGTAGAGTGCACTCAGAATGAATAGGGATAATTATGTTAGTTCCCAGAGTCCTGGCAACAGGAGCAGTTGCTCGAATCTAGTGTCTCTAAGTGGATTGTAGAGCTCAGCCTTGTTTCTGCCTAAGCCTTTCTGCTTTGTCTCTAGAAGGCAGTAGTTTCGTGGTTCTTCATTGCATCTTAGTACATCCATATCCTATACATTAATGCACTAGATGGGACATTTTCACTGCAAGGAGCTTCTTTTCAACCTAACAAATACATAGTAAGTACATGTGAGCTTCCTTCCTTCCTTCCTTCCTTCCTTCCTTCCTTCCTTCCTTCCTTCCTTCCTTCCTTCCTTCCCTTCTTTCCTCCCTCTACCCTCCCTCCCTCCTTCCTTTCTTGACTCACTTTGTAGACAAGGCTGGCCTCGAATTTACAGATATCCCAGCCTCCACTAACACTGGGATTAAGACGTACCACCAAACCCAGCTGAGAACTTTCACAAACACATTTGTAATGAATATTAAAGTAGTCATTCTCAAACCTTGCTACTCCAGAGGATCACCTAATGAACTTTACTGAAACCTTGATTTCTATACTGCAACCAGAGATTGCTCTTCTAAGTCTACATTTTCAAAAGATACCAGGAAAATTTCGGTATGACGCCAGGGTGTATAACCACAGTTCTCTGACTAGTAAGAAAATTTAGTGGTTGACATTGAATACTTGGGGCTAGAAATGCTGCTCAGTGGTACAGCAGCATATGCAGAGCCCTGGATTTCTAACTGCAATATAGCCAGGAAGAAAGCCGGCAGGGAGGGAAGTAGATGCCTTTGCTTTCTGTTTTGGAAGACTGTCTTAAACCTAGAACTGGCTTTGACATAAGACAGAGTAGGTCCTAATTCCATCATAGCCATTTACTGGCTTTTATCTTTAGACAAACGACCTAATCTTTAAGCGCTTCTGATCCCTGGCCTGTGAAAAGGGAGGTTGTTAGGGTTATTAGGAACATTTATTTATACAGGCAGCACTGGCACAATGCTTGTCCTGTAGCACACAATGGTGGCTGCTCATTTGGTGCACAAGAGGGGCCACTAGATTCATCCAGAGCAGAATCTATTGCAGGCACACCTTCTCCATCAGGTTCTGGTGAAAACGGGAGGTTTCCTGGTGCGGACAAGCTCGGCCACACCGGGTTTGGCCAAGCGCAGGCCCCGCGGTGTGGGGGCCGCAGCGCAGTCCACCAGGGGGCGCCCGGGCAACCTGCGCTCTGAGCCAATCGCACGGCGCCCACGCGCGTGCTCGCTGGGACGCGGAACCTCCGCCTAAGCCGCCGCGGCCTTCCGTGAGGGATCCCAACTAGACTTCTGTTTTCCTGCTGCCTCATCCCTGGCTCACCCAGCCGCAGCCCCGGCGTCTGTGCCGCGGCGGCCCTCGCTGCTTGGGCCGCGGACGCCCAGGCGCGATGCTGCGCTGGCTGATCGGGGGAGGCCGCGAGCCGCAGGGCCTGGCCGAGGTAATCCGCGCGGGCCTGGCGGGAGGGGCGGGGCCGGGCTGGCTGCGGGGCGGGGCCTGGGGGAAGGGCGGGAGGGGCGGGGCCGGGCGGGCTGAGGGGCGGGGCCTGGGGGGAAGGGCGGGCGGGGCGGGGCCTGTGGCTGGCGGCCACCGCCTAGAGCCCGCAGGCATCTCCGGAAATTTAGGGCCGCCCAGGGCCACCTTGCCTCTGTTTGGAAAGTGTGACTTAACTGCAAACGGGCGGGGGCGACTGCCACCCTTGATTTATTCGACTGGCATTTGCTTAGGGAACGTGAACTTAACCAAGTTAGAAAATGATTTCTGTTTATATAGTTCGTGTATTGTCTCTGTCATGTTTACTTATACTTGAAAAAGCAAAACAGTTTTGCCGCCTTAAAAATGTTAACATCTGAAATTTGCTTCACGTGCCACACGAAACATTTTTCTTCCTCATAGCAAGCATTGAACAGTTATGATTATTGTGAAGAACTCAGTTTTAACTCCTTCATAGTTTTGTCGTTGACAATATGATTTTAAAAAAAATCACTTATTTTATATAACTTATAAGTCCCTCAGGTTATGCAAGAACTGTGGATTATTGACCGACCAACCACATAACATATATATTCGAATTAATCTGCTTAATGGTTAATAGAGTATTTTTATTAAGCAGTTCTGTCGTTTGTGGCTAACTCTCCCTTGTGGGGAAGCAATTTCCATAACTGAGCGACTGCTAAAAGGGAGACAGGATAAATGCAAAATCATCAGCATGGGTGGATTTTGCCAGAAAGCACTGAGGCATGCTGTTCTTACATTTTTTTTCATGTAAAAGTTCTTCAGTTGTGTAACTACCTTGAATATGTAAAAAAACGTGATTTTCCCAATGATGAAAGAACATTACATTCAGCCTTCCAGTCTAAGTGATTCTCAATCCTGGGGTAATCTTGTCCCCAGAGGACATGAAGGATCTTCTGTTGGCCATGGTTAGGTGTGATGGGGGAGTGTGTGGAGAGAGGGGTGCTGGTAAGTGAGTATTCTAACACCCAGGAGAGGCCTCAGTAACAAGGGCTTCCCTAGTCCACAATGTCATCTGTGTCAAATTTAAGAAACTGTGGTAAAGAACAAAGCTTCTAATAGCAACATTGTACTTGGTCACCAGCAAATTTTGATTGAGAAACATTCCTAAGAGGACTGAGTTAGACTGGCGCAGTGTTTTAAAGTCAGGTTCATCAGGGCTCAGCAAACCAAAGTTTACTGTTTACAAATTTATTGTGGCTTGAATATACTAAGGTTTTTGGTTAGAGAAATACTTCCATGTGGAACTGGCCAATTATCTACCTCATAGTGTAGGAACTAAGTATGTTACCATTAGAACATAGCATCTTGTAGTTTTTAAAGTCTTTTGTTCTTTCACTACATTTGTAACCATACAGTTACAAATCGCTTTGTCCTTCTGATTCTGCTCTGTTTTCTCATTACAAGAAAGCTGCTTTGCAGACAATAGGAGAGGACCAGAGTCAGAACCCCTACACTGAGCTGCTGGTACTGAGAGCCCACGATGATATTGTCCGGTTTCTGGTGCAGCTGGATGACTACAGGTAAAGGATTTCCTCTCTCTAGTGGCCACTGTTTAGAAAATGAAGAGAACCTTTTATGTTAAAAACAACTTCAAAATTAATTCATCCTTTGTAAAAAATTTCAAAATTCTGAAACACAACCAGCTGAAAGTTGTGACATTTACTACAAAGTTGAGATGGACTTTGAACCCTGATGGTAATATTTTAAACCCTTTTAATCCCAGTGTCACCTTGTCATGTCTGGTGACAGTTACATTTGTTTGCTCTTTTCTTTGATGTTTTGGAAAAAAAGTGTCATGAGTTTTTAGAAATATTCTTACTAGTTTAGAAGAAGCAAATAACTTTCAGAATTTGATTGAGTTGTAGATGTCAGGTCTGAGAAATAAATATGTCTGGTGTTTAATACTAGGTATCTGCTCGAATATTCTGTTTTGAGTGGAAAGTCAAGTAAGGTTTTAATCTGAATCTATGTCATTGATGAACCTATCTAAAACTATACATCATACATTATTATTATACAACAACTATACATTATTATTCTGCAGTTCCTGGGTATCACACATGCTGTGTCTGCCATGTTTGCAAGTAGAGAGAAAGGTGCTCAGGCCTGAGGGCCCAGTACTTAGCTTATCTCTGAGCCTGGCTAGCAGCAGCTGCTTCACTGATGGTATAACTTCTTAATCTGAGTACCATGAGAGTGAGGACTCTGTTCTTATGAATTACTATTTTATTGTGCATTATTCTTCATACTACATAACATGTAGGCTGTGTTGTTACATGAGTGAATGACTCCTGCTGTAATTACTTTTAACTCTCCTGCTCCTGAAGTCTGTTGGGTCTTTCTTGGCCTTTTAAAATTTTCATTATGTATAGTTTATTTCTGATCCAAATGGGGATAGGCCACATTTCAGAGACAGGCAGAGTCCTTCACACATTCTCCTCAGCTCAAACACCAGCCATCATCTGTGTTTTCAAATCACCCATGCTTCCGGCCAGCTGGCTGCAAGTCCCAACTGCTTCCTTGGGTTTGAAAATTCACTGGAAGGACTCAGCAAAGCATTATACTAATGGTTACACTTTTATTACAACCTAGACATCAAGATCTGCTGCATAGATTTGGATAGAGGGAGGTCAAGAGTCCCAAATGCATAACCTCCATGTCCTTAGGACTTTTTGAGACGTTGTGTGTACTGCCTCAGTGTGAGCCTCCTGGAACTTTGGGCTTGCAGTTTTTAAGTGAGTCATTATTGTGTAGGCATGTTTGTGTGATGGGTCTTAATCACAAGACTTCTGTCCTTCCCTTGCAAGTTGGCAGGTAGGTCTGATATCGTCTAGTATCACGAAGACAAAGTCTTCCCATGGTTCACCTCTTCAGCACAGCCCAACCCCTCTTCACATCATTTAAGAGCCTACATTGAGTCACCCATCAACATGAACATTGAAGACACTTATATCACTCAGGAAATTTCAGGGGCTCAGAGGCACACTTTTGGGAACTAAGGGCCAAGACCACAAAATAGTTAGACACTGTATCGTGGCCATTGCCCCTTCCACAAGTTCCCGGCTAGACTGCATTGTTCTCTTATTGTGCTGGGAGACAACCAGGTCACAGCATGTAAACACAGCCTGTAACCTCCAGGCCTTTGCTCGATATTTGTCTTCACTAAAGCCTTAGACGTTTAATGTTTATTTCAATGCTAGCTCAATGTGGGAACTAGCATTTCTGTAGAGGTGGGACTTTCGGGTAGCTGAGAGTTTCATGTGTCACATTTAATCTTAGTAAGTTGCTGGATTAAAAACATTCAGATAATAACTTATTTCCACTTTTATTTATTCTAAAATCATTTTGTTTGCAAGAGTAAGTAATAAATATAAAGAATACTCTTGGGATCTAGACTTTAAATTTTATACAGACTGTTTGGATTCCATGTCCATGCTGTCTGTCCTCTATGATATGCCCTCAGGGTTATTATTACATAGGTAGAAGAATTTGAGAACAGGGCTGAGTTGTGGCGTAGCCAGGCAGTGAGTATTGACAGTCCGTTTCTCCACAGTGACTCTCATGACTACCTCAGCTGGCAATGACAGGAACAGTGTAGCTGGGGTGTGGTTGCTCACGTGTCACCCCACACTTCATGGTGTGAAACAGAGCAACCAGCACATCCTCGGTTGTAGCTTTTTATCCCAACTGGATGGCAGTTTTGACTTGACTCACTCGGCCAAGCCTTTTCCTTTGGGATTTGAATCAGGCTCGTGTGTGTGTGTGTGTGTGTGTGTGTGTGTGTGTGTGTGTGTGTGTTCAGCCAGTGGACTGGCTACGGTGGACCGGGGGCAGGATGGCAGCCTTCTCCCTCCATGTGGTGTGAAGTTGTGATGCTATGGGACAGATCCCAGAGAAGACACTTGCATGTGCCACACCTGCTTGTGCCACGTTTGCCGCTGTTCTATTGACCGAATAAAGTAAGAGCTGACAGAGGCCGACTAAGATGACTGGGTTCTACCTCTCCATGTGCGGACAGCAAGGTCCTAGTGTACTTGGTGGCTGTAGGCCTAGGGGGTGATTGATGACCGTGTTTGCCTCGTGCCTGCAATGGACAGGAGGTCTGTCTTTTGCCTTTAGTGGTGATAGACCTTCAGAAAGCACTTCAAATTCTTTCTAATCAAGTCAGAATTGTATCAAGGTTAACATGTAGTTACACATAAAAGCTCATTTGCAGATATTCTTTAAAATTTTAAATTCTGTAACAAAAAGTAATTATCAAGAATAAAAATTTAACTAATATATGGAAATCTGTTAGTCTTAATATTAGGAAGATAATTCTATCACAGTGATTTACTGTTAAAGTTTGGTGTGCTCCCCTGGAGGAACTGGAGATTGAACTCAGGGTTTCAGGCATTCCAGACAAGTGTATCAGCTGAGCCCAGTCCTCAAAGTGCTTTTTAAAATAATTAATAAATGCATGTTGGTGGGATGTTTTCATTTTTAATGTTTTCAGTTTAGAATTATCTGTGTTGTGTTAGCACATTATTAATTAATTGTTAAATTCCAGAAAAACACCTACCCAGTTTTTAAGCAAATTTTGTATGCTTTACAGTTTATTTATTTATTTTTGCTTTTTGTGGGCATTACATTCTAGCTGTTCAGCTATTGTAATCCAGGTTTCACGCTTCAAGTCTTTAGATAATATCATCTGATTGAAAATTTTGCAGAAGGATTTTCTTGTTTTCTTGGCGGCTCAGCTAAAATCAGTGAGTGGAAAATTTTCTCGATTGGTTTTTGAAGATACAAAATAAATCCTGTATATAGCCTAACAGACAGCTGCCTTTTCTTCTCTTCTTTGGTATTTTTTGAACATGGAGTGAGGGTCATATTGATTGGGAGATCACTGAAGAAGGCCAGGCCTCAGCAAGAGTCTTCCAGAACATGGCCTGTGCTGCGACTGCACGCACTGCTCCAGCTCCTGCACATTAAACTACGCCGAGCTCACAGCGCGTTTGAAGACCAGCTGGGCCGGCTGCTCGTTGGCCATTCCTCGCCTCCAGGAAACAGACAAGGTTAATAGGACGGCGATCATGACTGGAAAAGAGCCCGATGACCCAGGAAGCGCTGGACTGCAGAAACGGCATTTCTGGGGGCTGGGGAAGCTGAAGTTTTAAGACAGTGTTGTTGGACAGCCCCTGAGAACAAAAAGCATCTCTGCCTTTAAGAAGGTGTTTTTAAGCTATGAATGTGTCTTCTCATTTACCACATTCAGAGTACAGGGAGCTGCAATCACAGTGGCTTCAGAGTGCTGAGGAAAGTGGCACGCGCCTGTGATTCTTTCTAGCTGTAGAAAGGCTGCGGCAGGATCACAAGTTTTGAAGCCGGCCTGGACTACATACCTCTAAGAAAATATTGTACTGAAAATCAGACAGTGCAGTAAGATTAAAGAGCAGACTGTCTTAATTCTAGGATTCCCACAGAAACTATGTAATCGTGCTAAGTGTATGCATGGTTAGTGAGAATGAAGAACAAGCAGGATCGGAGTGGGGCCGTGTGGCCGTCTGGATGCTGAGGAGACCTGGTTCCTGCCAGCCCTGTGGGGAGTTCGGGAGGAAGGATTGCCCGTTGGGTACAATGCTCTAGACAGAAGCAGCCTGGGTTTGTGTCACTTCCCTTGATGGTCTTCTGCTGAGAACCGTCTATGCAGAACAGGCCCGTAATCCTAACATCTTGCTTAGTACCCGGACACTTGGAGCCAGTCCAATTTGAAGTCCACAGCTGGAGGCGGCTAGACAACACGTTCTTCACAGCTGGCTAGCTAGTCCCCTCTGGAAGTCTGGAAAGTCCTAATATACTTCCATTATTGGATGCTAGACAATTTAATTTTTAAATATCACGAACACATTTATGTAGCTTTTGGGCAGCCTTTTAAGAAACGATAGCTGGAAAATACTATAAGCAGAACCCATTTTCTCACAAGTTTCAGTAGCCAGTTATTAACAGACTTTGCAGCAAGGTTTTAAAGCTTATGTCTTCCAGTCTAGACTTACTGTAATAGATTTCGCTAAAGCCCATTTAATGCCAACAGAACAAAACCAACTGTGTTCTGGTGTAGGATTTTCAGTGACTTGTGGTAAATTTGCTTTTGTTGTTTTGGGATGTACTTTGAGCTGAGTGACTCAAAGCATGCAGATAGCATTTGACATGTGTCTCGCCACTCTCCTGTTTTCCGGTTGTACATTGTCTTCTGACTGCAGCTACATCTTGCTAAATGTAAGGTTTGAGGGGTGACAGGAGTGTCAAGGCTGCAGCAGCTCAATGCAGTAGCATCATTACATTTGGGGAAGCACAGAATTGGTATAATTGCATTTCATCTTTAAACTCTACCTTTTAGCAATAAAGTTGTATAATCTCTAAGTAAAACCATTCTTTCTCAGCTAAAAAAAAAAAAAACAAAACACCAAAAACCCTTACTTATTTAAAAATATTGTCTTCATATTTTAAACTAGAGCTCACAAACCCACCTGACAGTTTGAGT